TAAGGATTCATTATGTATTTATTTCTTATAAAACTTTTATTCAATGATTTTCTGAATATGACGTTGGCTCTAATCTATCCTATTATTTTAATGAGAATCAACCACCATTTAATTAATATTTCATCAATGTTAAATTTAATGAGACTTTTTTCATTATTATTTTCTCGTTAATATCAAAGGGATTCATTAAAGGTAACGTAGCCCCAAAAAATTATTTTTCTGTGAATATATACCTACTGCGGACTATTTTCAATGGGACTACCTACAAGTTCAAACAAAAAGTGGCATGAAAATATGAATAGCATACTGAAAGGAACAAGGCTTTCATTCAGTGCAAAAATATAACCCACAAAAAAATATAATGGGATGTAAATGGATGCTTTTTCCTTTTTATTTCCTGAATTATTACTTGAAATAGCCTGGAACTGAAAATTTTTGTGACAGTCAGAAACTGAAATGTACTAAACACAATTTTTAGCAACAACGCAAAGCTGCTAAAATTCACCACACTTTCACAATATTGTATTTCTTATATCCTAAACATAGAAAATAAATGAAAACGCCAGCATTAAGTTGAGGAAGCAATCTAAAAACTTCATTTTAATCACTTAGAAAGTTGTTTACCTTACAGCTTTCAGATAAATATCTCCGTTACAAAGTTGAAATACGTAAAATTTTTTTGAAAAATAAGAGGTTGCTTCGTCTAGAAAGTATAGGGTGGAAAATAATTATATGTCTTAAACATTAATTAGCGACCCGTCCCAGCTTCGCATGGGTGCAATGCTGATACTAAATGTATTTTTGTTATGTTTAGATTATTATCGAGGAGGGGAAATCTTCAAAAGACACCCCCTGAACATACTAAATATACTACAGAATGTCTTTATATACAACATTTTGTCATTAGATAATACAAACCGGCCGGTACCGCTGCAACCGCTATGTCCCTGCATTAAATATTCGAAAATATTCATTTAAATTACATGCTGTAAAGGGCCATATTGTTCTCTATTAAATGCACAATGTATTTAAGGTACTTAATTGGATAAGAAGTAATGCTGTGTTGCTTACAATCGGTTCGTAAATAAGTCATTATTTCTCATAAAAAGTAAAGGATAAAAAATGGTTATTGCGGGTTATCCCTAAGAGATAGACATATACCATCCCGGACTTTTTTGTAGACCTTTTTTAGATGTACAATACTGTACTACATTTTTTTGATCTATCTGGTAGGATTCAGCCAGCGTTTGCAATGTAAGCGCAAAAAAATTTGTTTGTTTACGACATCACATTAGAAACCTCTAAAATTATCAGTATTTCCCTACTATATTATGCATGTATTATACATACAAACGTTCCTCTTGAATCACTCTATCTTTTAAAAATAACCGCATCAAAATCCGTTGCGCAGTTTTAAAGATTTAAGCATACATAGGGACAGACAGCGGGAAAGCGACTTTGTTTTATACTATGTAGTGATATAGGACCATTTTTAATGGGAAAACGGTCATTTCAGGATATGTTAAATTTTGACGGCATTCGGTTTTTGAGATGACCAAATTATTTGAATTTATCATTGTTTCTTTTTGTTTGAAAAAGGTACTGATAATAACGAGAAAACCCTTATCACTTTAAAAAGTTAAAAGTTTTATCTCAAAGTAGTTACAAGCTTTACCCGAGAAATATTTCCTCGAAAGTTTCACACACAGACAGAAAAAAAAATCCTTTATCCATTTATCTTCCATCGACTGCTAGATCTACGTATTCCTCCTCTTATTGTTTCGCTCTCGTGGCGGATATCCAGCTTATGCTTCGCCCTATCATCCGGCTGCAGGAAAATTTCATAATCATAAAATTTCCCTCCCATTTCTTGTCACATAAGAAACAGATTTGTTTAGGAGCCGTCAGGAGGCATAAAAATCAACAGAAACGAGACCTTTTTTCTTTTCTTTCGGCGCGTTGGGGAGAAACAGTCGCCGCCCTAACAAGAATTTATGTAACCTCGCAGTATATGCACGTGTGTTTGTTCATGTGTATATGTATATATATATGTAACTTTAGGACCGGATATAATACGTACGTGACGCGCGAAATTTTATAGTTGCGGTTTATAGGGTGAGGCGTGCGTGGGGAAGTTACGTTGACGATATCACCAAAGAGGTCTCTTTAACATTGACGTGCCCCAGTAGAGCCTGATCTCAGGTAGGACGATATTTCATCATCATGGCCTCGCAAAATAGAAAGTAACGACTTCATGCGGATTAGATTTATGTGACGGACTTTGTAATGGGATACACGACGTTAAATCGATTCCGGAAGCACATGCACGAAGCGCCGTCCATCATATTTCGTACTTTGACCCGTAAGACATCATTTTAGATCGAATTTATGCGTCAATCTTCTAGATCACGTGTCCGTGTGATATTTTAATTAAAAAGTATCACGGAAAGTATTATAACTGTGAAATCATTATCTTGGAGTATTTCCATTTTTAGTCAGAACAATAAAAAGTAAAATAAATAATAAACAACTACCCTAGACAAAAATATTTTCAGTCTCTCAGAGTCTTTCAGCATCTCTCACAGTCTTTTACAGTCTCTCAGTTATTGCCTAGGTGTTTTTATGGAACTCGAACTATAAAATTGTTAATTCAGAGATTCGAGTCTCCCACAGAGAGACTGAATGAATAAAACTGAAAAATTGAGAGACTCGAGTCTCTCGTAGAAAGACTGGGATCTCTGAAATATGTTGAACTTTGAAAATTTTGAGTCTCCGTCTCTCATCGAGTCTCTCTGGTGTCGCTGATAGAGACTGTCGAGAGACTTTCAAAAAAACTGTTTAGCGTTTCTGAACGAGAGACTCGAGTCGCTCATAGAGAGATCCTCATTTCCTATCCAATCTCTGAACGAGAGACTCGATCTCTCAATAAGTGGTGTCTCAATAGACATAGTTAAAATTTCCTAAGTTCAACATATTTCAGAGATCCCAGTCTTTCTACGAGAGACTCGAGTCTCTCAATTTTTCAGTTTTATTCATTCAGTCTCTCTGTGAGAGACTCGAATTTCTGATTTAACAATTTTATCGTTCGAGTCTCTCATACAGAGACTGTGAGAGATCCATAAAAGCAGCTAGGCAATAACTGAGAGACTGTGAAAGACTGTAGGAGACGCTCTCAGAGACGCTGAAACTCTCTGAGAGACTGGAGAAAGACTGAAAATTTTTGTCTAGGGAATTGTAAGTAAGAGATATTGTATTTACTACACTGCAATCGCTGAAAAATCGGATGGTTCTAAGAGTTCTTCTTATCGAGATTGTTGACAATTTAGAGAGGATCCGATTGTCGTTTGGAAAAATTTGGTCGTCTGAGAGTCCTAAGCCATCGGAGTCGTGCACTCGGTTGCGGTCACGGTTGATAAATGACAAGACTTACGTTACAGAACGTGAGACACGTTCGAAAAAGCAAACGAGCGGCTTTGGTACTAATCCAGATTAAAAATGAGTCGCGCGCCCAACGCCAGCATAACATGAAGATCGGGACGGAACGACCGACGCTCGGCGTCGGCGGCATTGTAATCCTCGCAAATCCTACGAAATATGCGAGGATTGCTTCGCGCACACAGTTCTGAATTATTAGACCCAATCAGTCTCGTTTTCGCTCTAAACTCCAGCTACATCTAGTACAAGAAGTAAGCTTATTATATCAACACAACCGACTACAAGAATGAACAAAAAGCATAAAAAGATTAACGAAAAGGAAGACAAAAGATTACATCACTACTAACAAGAACAAGCGAAAGTATATCGGATAAGATTAGTCTTATTTTTGGTGTATAACGTTTTTAAGTAGGTATTACCGTTAATCTTGTTTCTATTCAGTTAGACGTTAGTATTGCTTGCAACCGGTAAAGTTCGATCTATTTCTGTGGGTTAATTGTTAGTAGATTTTAAATCAACTATGTTAAACTCTAACATGTTAAGAATAATCCATAAGTAAAGTAATAAAATAAAATAATTCGAAGTGGTCTGTATTCTGTCGAAACTGCCAGACGCGGATCGCGATTTCGATCTTTTTGGATCTCATCAGCGCGCGCAGGCAGCTCCGACAGAACACAGACCAACTTTTACCTGCTGCTTTAACAGCGTGTTTTAGAAAATTCCACAAATGGCGCGGTAAACGCCATCTGTGGTACGATGCTACATTTTAGGATTACGTATGCTCCAAGAAGGTCCATTTAAATATATGGATATCTACTTGTTGAAACGAATCCCGGCGTAGCTAACCTCAACGTGTTGGGCACGTTACTATAATCAAATAAAATAATTCGAAGCAGTTTCGACAGAATACAGACCACTTCGAATTATTTTATTCGATTATAGTAACGTGCCCAACACGTTGAGGATGCTGGGGCAGTAATATTCCACAGATAATCTTTCATTCCCTTCTGTCATCATTTCGCCCGTCTCATCTTTCTCACCCGAACCACCAACCATCCATTCCTACGATTCCTGAAAGCAGGCTGAAGAGGGCCTTCCGCCTTATCTTCCGGCGTGGTCAGGGGGATGCCCGCCCACCAGCATTAGTGGCTGATGGGAATGGAACACCCAAAAGTTTTTTTTTAAATACCTCTCAGTAAAGACATTGACCGAATGTCGTTTACAGCTTCCGTCGAGCCCATGGTCTATCGAGCTAATGTTATTGAAATGTACAATATGAATGCAGTAAGGTCCGCCCTTTGCACATTTCGCGGCCCAGGACATTTTTAAATACCTCTAGCAAGAATGACATAAATGCATACGAAGTGTGCAATATGCATGCCCATATAATTTATATACAAGAAGAGATACTTCCAGATAACTTAGGTACCTACTCGTAGTAGATTAATGTACATATAGTTCTTTATGGTATGAAACGAAAAAGTTCGTTTTACCGCATAGATAATTAGTAGATACAGAGATCAAAGATATTTAACAACTTTGTAAAACAAAATATTTTGTTCTAGTAATTGCTGCAGTCAGTTGGGAAGAATGGTGGACTTATGATGGCATATCTGGTAAGTCAATTTATCCAATAAAATTTATTACTAAATAGAAGGAAATTGCAGTGTCCGTTGAGTACATACTTACATGCAGTATAAAAGTTTCGTTATACAATTAATGCCCTTTAAGTGGGCATCCCATTAAGAAGTCGAACTCTATGTAACTTCATAGCTGGTTCAAAATCTCCAGTGTCTTCACATGCATGTCGTTTGATTTTATCATAGGCATTTAAACTGACTTTATTTTTAGTTCATTTCCGTTAAAATTATTTTTAAACCATTCCATAAAAGTATTTGCACTTCAAGAATTTAAAACACGAATAAGAAATGACAGCACGATATTTTTACGTTTATTATTTTCTTTCATTTGATGCCTTTTAACCAATGCAATGAGGTCATAAATAAAAAGCGACTATTAATTTGCACTAGACATGAGAGAATTTGTATTAATGTATTATTTCGATCAAGTACGATGTTATTTGGAAGAAGTTAGCATAAATTTTTAATAATTCAGCCAGTCAGTGGTAACCGAGGAGTGAAATAAAACCAATTTTACAAGAATACCTGGTGCACAAGTTCGATGCAATTCTTGGATCCAATTAGAGATTTAATATTGAGTAAAAATAATAAAAGCTGACAGTTTTCTTTTCTTGAACTAACGAAGTTGTTATGATGAAAATTCGAAAACCTAAAGAGAAAATTGTATAAAACCCAATAAGAAAGTCTGAAAAATAATTCTAAATATAGATGTAGGTACTCTCTTCAAAGCATCTTTCGTAGTATCATTGATTTTTCACTTTTATGGTTCTACAAAGGAATTTAGCCGAAACAATCTGTCGTTAGAAATATTTAAAATTCCACTCAGGCAAAGGAATTTACACAAATTGTTCACAAGAACTGTCCGACAGTTGACAAAAAATGCGGTTTAACCGAAAAAGTTATAAATTTACCAACATTAGTGGTAGCAAACAAATAAAAAAAAATGTTAGATGGATGGTCTAATATGAAGAAAAATCTTTAATACTTATTCAAAAATCCGGACTAGAGAAAAATTATTACAATTATTTAATTTGAAACCTAATGTTGTTGTTCGCTTAGTCACTAGCAGAAACGTTTATCTAAAATAATCCATTATTATTCTGCATTTGAAGGTACTGTAGCATAACCCAGTAAGGCCAGTGTCACAGAGCGGATGCCGCGCGTTTAAACCCATCGGTCTTTAAAAAGAATTTTAGGCAGGACGCGTATGATGGCGTTTGATAAACTACTTATAAGTATTGGCCGAACAACGAAAACGTTACTCAAAGTAAATGGAATTTTTGTAGAAATTACCCTCAATAGAATCATCATCATAAGGTCGTCAGTCCTTTTGTTGGATTGGTGGGACACGCACCTCCACTATTTCTTATCCTGAGCTAATCTTCGCATTTCCCTAAAACTAGATAATCCCACATCCTTAACTATTTGCAAAAAGTAATCTAATCTGGGTCTACCTCTACTTCTCTTAGCTCCTATTTCTGCCTCTAATAGGTCTCTGACTACTACTTTTTATAAGGGTTGAAATGGGGTACGGGAAGTTCTGTCTAATTATGTCCAGTTATTATTGCCGTTCTGTTTTTCTTATTCCAACTAAATGTTTAATAATCCAGCAATACAATTTTTCCGTATCTATGTATTGAATTTTTATAATTTCTTAACTTCCTCTTTTCCGATTAAAAATTGTGTGTGCGCCCCCGTACCTGCAGAGAAAATGATTTACGATGTCTCATCCACCTTGGAAAACTTTCAAAGATAAACATTATCCAATATTCTCGGCTATGGCGTAAAAGGTGTTTGACAAGAAAATTAATACGTCCCAGAATATGAATCTTCGATCGAAGGGTGAGTGGGAAAGAGAATCCTTTGAATTTTATCCGGCATTCTCCCGGTGTACGTGTCCATCATCTCTTTAACACATCGACGACGCGACGTGATGGTAATAAATGTGAATAAACGACGGGGACAATTGATTACCAAACAAATTTCTGTCATCCACCCATCCCCTTACTTCAGAAAACCGCATATTGGATATACGCAAAGAAGCAAAGTAATTCTCGAAAATTATACGACTTTATTAATTATTCAGAAATTTAATAAAATAATAATATTAACAACACCACTAGCCATAATGTCTACAAGAATAAAATATGTTGTAGCTAACTGTTATTCCACCTTTGTGATGAGAAATTTAAATTTTCTAAACATATATGAGTACGAATAAAATAATTCGAAGTGGTCTGTATTCTGTCGAAACTGCCAGACGCGGATCGCGATTTCGATCTTTTTGGATCTCATCGGCACGTCGCAGGCAGCTCCGACAGAACATAGACCAACCTTTACCTGCTGTCTTAACAGCGCGTTTTAGAAAATACCACAAATGGCATGGTGAACGCCATCTGTAGTACGATGCTACATTTTAGGATTACGTATGCTCCAACAAGGTCCATTTAAAAATATGGATATCTAAAACGCGCTGTTAAGACAGCAGGTGGTGTTCTGTCGGGCTGCCTGCGCCGCGCTGATGAGATCCAAAAAGATCGAAATCGCGATCCGCGTCTGGCAGTTTCGACAGAATACAGACCACTTCGAATTATTTTATTCGATTGTGGTAACGTGCCTACCACGTTGAGGTGAGCTACGCCGGGATTCGTTTCAGCAAGTAGATATCCATATTTTTAAATGGACCTTGTTGGAGCATACGTAATCCTAAAATGTAGCATCATACTACAGATGGCGTTCACTATGCCATTTGTGGTATTTTCTATATATGAGTACCTATCACGGATTTCAAGCAAAAATTACTACAAGTTAGATTTCCATTTAGATATAATTTCATTTTCCAAATATTACTAATCTTTTCCACTGGTATGGTCATCATACCTCTCTCTCTCATCAGATTTCGGGATCTGGTCAATGAGCGGAAGTGCCAGAAAAATGCATTTGGAGATAAGAGATCTAGCTCCTAAGGATCCTACTTAAATGCTTTATAAACCATGAAACATGCATATCATTCTGAAATTTTGTCTTTCTTACTAAAAAATAATTGTTTGCATATAATGGAGGAAATTTCGAATAGATTTATGCGACATTTGGGACTGTGACATCAAAGTAGGTCAACTATCCATCGGGTGATATGTATACACGACCTGTACAAAAAAATAACTAAAAGCTGCTTGTGCAATTTATATTTTTTAATTAAATCATTACAGCTGAGTTATGTGAAGTAATTATCCGTCGTAACCAAGATATACTTCACCTCTGTCCTTTGACAAATTTGAATTTATTGTTCCGCTTCATTCTCTACACCACCTACCTCATATATCTAGCAGATTTTTCGTCGCTTTCATATTATAAACGTCTAACTAGTCACTATTTTATTGAAAACTAAAATGCATATACCTACATATATGGTGTTATAAAAAATGTTATTAAAAAACTGATGCCAATCAGTTCTAATTAAAACAAAAGCAGCAACAACTGAAGGGGAATGAATGCAGAATAAATGGGAAAAGGGAGAAAACTCGAAGTGCAAAGAAGAGAGAAGTAAGGATAAAAAAAGACAGATTCCAAGACGGCGAAAGACTACATGAGAAGAATGACATGCAAAGGAAAAATTTTTAGAACTAAAAGGGAAGAAATACAAGGTGTAGATGATAGAAAGATCCAAAGAAATAGGAACGAAATTGAGCAAAGGCAGAATAGACCATAGAAGAAGGAAGCTATAACCTGTATTTGTATTTATATGTATAATACTTAAGGTTGGATATAAGTCCAATCCTATGTATCTCGTGAAAGAAATCATCATAGACAAATACAAACAAAAATAAAAGCACACTAAAGGAAATGGGATAATTACCCATTACAAGTTAACGTCAATCTGAAAGTTTCTACAGAAATATATTGAAATAAGGCAATAATTACTGTAAATGAAATCTAAACATGCTTTAAATTGACGTAAATCACTTATGAATTAATTTCAAATATTTGTATTTACATATTTGCGTGTAATGTGTTTGCACAAGGCAATGTAAATTATTCTGCTTCTGATAAACATTTACTAATTAATTATGAAATGTAATTACCTACCCGCTAGAGGTAATGTAAACGTTTGTCTTATTGTCTACATTCGTCTGACGTTTGGGGCTGTTGCTTATTCCTTAATTAGAACAAATATCATTTATTGTAAGAGTAAATTGGATATTGGATCAATTCTATTGCTCCCCGCGGGTGTGCATAAAAATAGGGCAACCAAAACTGAGAATACAGAGAAAACAGTGTATAATGTCTCACAAATTTATATCGTAATAATAATTAAAACAGAAAGGATTCAATAAGGACACGTGTTTCGTTCATTTACGTAGTAAACATTTTCAAGGAATGACTGACTCTCGATGGATTATTAAAAATGGTTAATTTGTACATTACAAAAATTTCCTCTATTCCTGTCTCTTCCACATTCCTCTCGCTTTTTCATCATATTCCGTATAATGCCAAATCTAGCAAACATAGATTTCAATGTATACCATTTCTTTAGTACGTTTGGCAGCGTATTTTATCTAAAGTCCGTTTAAAAAGTACATTGATTTTGAGAGAAATTCTTTAAAACTTATATAAAAGTAACTCAGTGAAACGATTGCTTTAGTGCGAGTTGTCTTAAATATCACTTTACAATTTTGATTAAATTTTTAGCAACAGTTAGCTAATATGAAGGCCGAACGTAACGAATCGCTGGTAAATATACAATGTACAAAAGAAAGATTAAACGAATATCAAGCTAAGTACAAATTAATTCAATCTGAATACTTGGCAACAAAAGCAAATGTGAATAAGCACATAGAACAAGCTGCCGCCTTAGGGGAAAGACTTGGCATATTAAGGTAAAAAACGGCAAATGCACGTATTTCTTTTTACCATTACACTAGTTTTATATATGAAGTGTTTTCCATAGTCATTACTTAATTTTAGAGATGTTAATG